ATGGAGAAAAAGGGAGACAGAAGGAGTTCGATAATCTCCTCTTCCACCTCTCTAATCTTTTATTAATCTTACTAAGATTAGATAAATTACAAGTCTGCCCTTGAGTGGGCGTCCACCTCATCAGCATACTTAGAAAACATAAAAAAGGACTAAAGGCCCATTAAGAACAAAACAACAAGGAAGAACTAACAATAAGATAGTAATGGGCTAGGGCCCATTCAGCCCAGTCTCTCTACACTCCCCCTCAAGCTAAGCATAGATATCAATCATGCCCAGCTTGCTTATATAGCGAATCATCTATCCTTTAGGAACACCTTTTGTCAAAACATCAGCCAACTATTCCTTTTTTTTTATCAATAACTGGAATTGATTAGATTAAAAGAATTTAGTTACAACGCTCCAAAGAGAGATAAATCTGCCAACTATTCTTCAGAAGCAATAAATGGCAGACAGACTTCTCCTAAAGMAACTCTCTCCCATATAAAGAGCCTGTCAACTTCTATGTGCTTAGTTCTGTATGCCGAACAGGATTATGTGCAATGTTGATAGCAGCTTGGTTGTCACAATATAGCATCATTGGCTTCTTAAGTCAATACCCAATTCTTCTAAAAGTGATCTCAACCACAAAAGTTCTGAAACTCCATGTGCCATTGCCCTATACTCTGCTTCAATCGAGGATCTAGCCACTACAGACTACTTCTTACTTCTCCATGATACAATGTTCCCTGCCACTATAGCACAATAACCTAAAATGGACCTCCTATCCTCAATACATCTAGTCCAATCAGCATCAGTGTATGCTTCYAGTTTTATGTGTCCATGCTTAGCAAACAAGATACCCTTCCCTGGAGTCCCTTCTAGATGACACAAAACCCTCTCAGCAATTGCTAAATGTGTATGTCTAGGAGAATGCATGAACTGACTAATTACATTGACTGCATAGGATATAATGGCCGAGTCATGCAAAGATATAATAAATTCCCAAGCAATCTCTAGAACACTCCCTTATCAGTCAATAGTTCACCATTAGTAGCTAATAGTTTATGATTGAAGTCTATAGGAGTGGAAGCTAGTCTAGCACCCAGTTTGCCAGTCTCTCTAACATACTTACATTGAGAAATGAAGATACCATTGGGGCCCTATGCTTGAGCAAGTGTTACTTCATCCTTGGCCAAAATATTATGTCTCATAATATCAAACTTGAGGTTAAGTCCTGTAAGAAACTCAAACACCCTGTTTCTTTCCACAAATTTTTTGAATGTCTCTGCATCCTTGGTACTCTCCCATACAACTGCTTCTATAACATCAATCTCCTACCATAGTGACTTCAACATTAAGTAGTAGACAGCTACACTCCCCTCCCCCTATTTTACATTTTTCACATCATTCTTCAACTTGTAGGCCCTTGCAACATTCAATTTCTGAGAATACATTACTATAACACTATCCCAAATCTCCTTGGCTGAAGTCATCCAAAGATAATGTTGACTTATGTGAAGCTGCATCCATTTCTCTATGTAGGATCAGTCTCTTCTGGTTTCTCCTTACTGCTCGTGAGAAACCCCAATTTACCTCTACTATAGACATGAATTTTTATAGATTGTGCCCCAGCCAAATAATTTGTTCCATCCAGCTTGATTGTAGTCACTCTTGTCAAAATGGAATCTACTAGACCAACCCCAAACACCAGGATCTACTTCATCTCACTTCCAGATTGCTCCATTGACCAAACAAAATTTAAAAAAAAAAAAAGAACAAGGTTTTCAAACTTCATAGACCTAACTGAGGTCAGTCCAACACTTAAAAGTCCCAAAACTAGGGTTTCACTACACTTGGCCTCCCGAGAGAAAGAGAAGCAGTAAGCGCTCCAACCAGAGCTTCCCGAACCTCTTCCAATTGTAACCGCCCACTTTTGATTCTCCAAACCCTCTACCAACTAGGCATAAAAGTTCTCTAAATAATCAGCAACTTATCTCTCCATACACTCTTCTAATCAAAGGGTGTATGGGAAAAGAAAAGAAAAACAAAAGAGAAGGAAGACCTGCTCTGATATCAAGATGTGATTCAGTCCAGTAAAAAACAGTAAAAATATTTTAGATTATAGTAGTAGAGGAAGAGAAGAAGAAGACAGCAAGAAGAAGAAGGAAAGATGGAGAAGAAGGGAGAAAGAAGGAGTTTGATAATCTCCTCTTCCACCTCTCTAATATTTTATTAATCTTACTAAGATTAGATAAATTACAAGTCTGCCCTTAAGTGGGCATCCACCTCATCAGCATACTTAGAAAACATAAAAAAGGATTAAAGGCCCATTAAGAACAAAACAAGGAAGAACTAACAATAGGATAGTAATGGGCTAGGGCCCATTCGGCCCAGTCTCTATACATGATGAAAGCCCACCTAGTGCTTGGAGTGAAATTTCTAGTTTAATAGGCTGGATTTCTGTCAAGTCTTGCTTTTCTTGATCTATCATTCCTAGCAATCCCTCATTACCTTCATATTCCTCCCCCTTGATGTGTAGAACAAATGCTTGTTGTGTCTTACATCGATGGCCAGGCCCAAACTTTTCTTCACATTTTCAGCTCATGATAATCTCTTAAAGGGCATGAGAGGAAGAGCTAAGGTCAGTTTTCCCAATATGCTTCCTTCTTTATTGGGCCTTGTTATTGGCCCATCTGGCCTTGGTGGTTTCACTGTTGGAGCCCATGTTCAATGGATTCTCCTTGCCTCCGTTACCTTTTCTTCCTGGATTTGAGCAAGGTTTGTTGCATCTAATACAGTTGCAAGTTGCACCACCTTCACCTCTAGTCACAGTTCTTCCTTGAGGCCCTGCCACAAATGCCCTACCAAGGTCTCTCCTGCCATCCTTGCACCATGTTTACCAATCTTTCGAACTCCATCTGGTACTCTCTCACGTTGCTAATCTGCCTTAGTTTTGCAAGATTCTCATCAAAATCCTCATAACCTAAGGCTCTAAATCGTACACAAAGGGTGTTGGTGAAGTCCATCCAAGATAATCGTGGATGTCCTCACCGGTACCACTGGTACTAGAGGATTGCTTCCCCTTCTAGGTAGGGCTGCAAGGGCTACTCGATCATGTCCTAGTGTTTCATTGTATTCAAAAAATCTCTTGGACTTGTAGATTCAAGAAATCGGATCATCCCAAAGAAGATTGGAAAGATCATCTTGATGTTCTTGTCCGTACTTGAGCTTCCCTGTCTCCTACTGCCTTGGCTACCCTCCTTGCTCAACGTCCCTACCCACTTCTAGCATGCTCTATTCCAAATGGCATAGGACGATAGTCATTATTTCTTTGATTTCTCATACATCACTGGAGACACGGTGTAGCTCAACCCCACCTGACCAACTCTTGCCTTTGTGGCTCTTATTTGGCATCCAAGCTCTAATACCAAATTGTTAGGAATCTACCTAACTTTAGGTTCTTTCAAGGGAACCAACCTCCAAAGAAATTAGAGAGGGAGAGAGAAAGAGATGACTGGATGAATTCCTTCCTTGTTTATATTGCAATCTAGTAAGTTGTTACAATTCGGTTACATTCTTCTTACAATGTGTTGACATCATTATGTTATATTGTTGATGTGTACATCTCGTCTTATATACCTCATGCACCGGTTGCCTGTTCTTATATAAGGGCCGGGGTTCCCCTATTCTAACATTAAACCTCTCCTTCAATGGCTCAAAGAGGGCTGAGATGGGCCAAATTCATTCAGCCACCAACTCCACAAAGGAAGAGGGGTGAAGTTCTTTTCTCAAAGGGATTCTCTACTCCTCTTTTTGAATTAGGAGGTCATATGGGGCAGAGATACTAAGATACATCTCTCCCTCTGTTAACCAGTTAACCTAGACCCCTCTAAGTCCTACTTTTAAGGAGAAGGGGACAATCTTGAGATGGAACCCTCCCCCCTTCACCATCTCAAATGGGGGTCCTTTCACCATGCTAATACTGTTATAAATAGAACAGCGGGCTACAACATAGATCAGTCTTGAAACCAATAAAGAATACCCGTTCAATCACACAATAGCATTGCAATAAACCATAGGCATTCCTTCCCCCCTTTGCTTGAATGTGCTACAACACATGGCAGACTAAAGACACATTCCACAATTGAAGCTAGCAGAAAACAAACACTATTTCAATTGATAAAACATGCAGCACACGAAATGGTTTAAGCCATGCAGAATCTTCAAATAAATAATAATGCTTTGAAGCCAAGAGGCCATCGTGCATGTTGCAGTTCTAAACAACTTAATAAACAGACTAGATAGAGCTTCAAATGACTCAGCTATCCTTGCAAATTCTAGAAATAAAGGCTGCAATTATTCACTCCAAGGGCAGCCGAAACCAATAGAGGGAGATAATATTCAGGCCACACGGTGGTTTTTTATTTTTTATTTTTATAATAGATGAATCATTAAAGAGAAGCTGATAAAATCCAGAGATGCAGTAGGCAATAGTCAGGTCACACAGTGGTTATAACCATGTTACTCTTTTCCTTCGGACATATCACATTAAAACACAGAGATGAAATAGGCAATTCCAAAACCGAAATCATGGAGACGGCATCCATCCCAAATTGAAACATTTAAAACAGTGAATAGTGCTGTCAGTAATCGGTTCACAAGGGGAAAAATAAAAAGAGAGAGACTAGTAAATGAAATAACAAGAAACTGAGAAAGGAACAAGAAAAAGGATTAAGCATTGATCTAGTTGACACGAACAGCAGCATATAAATTTATTCAAGCAGAACGAGATATTTGCCATTGACTTTTATTCCAGCAGATTAGGGGTATCGGAGCTTCAAAGCCCTCTCATTGGTCATGCCTGAGGCATTTCGATGAGATACTGGACCTGAATATTGGCCTTTACAAAACAGCGCACTAGAGAGTCACAGCCGACCAAGCCCGCAGCTATCATCGATCTCGTCGGGTTACAGATCGAAATAAATCGGCAATAGGACAAAAAACGAGGGAGGTGTTTTTACCTTTCTCAATGTTGCCTTTATAGATACTTGATGGAGGTCGTTCTTGAGAGATGCAGCACCTTCAGAGCTCGATTCAGCCTGGTATGGCAGTTTGGGAGTAGGATGTTCGGCTGTTACAAGGCACTCAAACCTCTATATAGGGAGTTGAGCGCCGAAAAGAACCCATAACGCAGAATCGGTGAAAGCTTAATCACGCCCCCAACCATAGTTACTTCTACCCCGGTGAAGAAGAAGAATTTGCAAGGGCGGCAATGGTGGCGGACCTGGATTTGACAGCGAAAAAACCCTACCCAGAACAGGGTTTCAAGCAATGAAAAGAATAAGAAGAAATTGCAGGGGCAGCAATGCTGGCGGACCTGGATTTCACAGAGAAAAAAACCCTACCCAAAACAGGGTTTGAAGCAACGAGAAAGTCGGAGTGAAATGGGAGAGAGAAGAAGAAGAAGAAGAGGGAGGGGTGAACGCCGATGGAGAGGTTGCCGGTGGTGGACCGGCGGTTGCTGTCATCTTTAGTGACAATGGCAGTGTGCTCTGGTTCGGTTTAGTTTTAGAAAACCGGGCCGGACCGCCGGTTCGTCTATATCCAAAATCGGATTGAAAAAAAACCGGCCAAACCGATTTGACAAAAAAACTAAGGGGATGTTTGGAACCATGACTGTTTTTTAAAAAAAATGATGCCACGTTGGATCCACATAGGCGTTTCAACAAATGCCCATGTATCTCATTATTTGGTTCACCCGATTATTAAAAAATCTGGCTTGCCTCGAAAATCAGGACCCCACCAATGCATGAAATGCCAAATTTGGTGCTTCATGCATCGATGAACTATTTCCCCCAACGGGGTTGATTGATGTGTATCCTATATGGTGCTTATCTGTCAATACATACACGAAAAACAATGATAAAAATCACATTATCAAACAGTATAGTGTTGCTTACTGCCTACAAAACATTCTTTTGTAAAAAAATAGATTTTAAAAGCATGGGCATTTTCAACTAAAAAATTTAAGTGTTTCAAATAAATAATTTCGAATGCTTTAAAACTTTATCAAATTAAAATGGATTTGGGATGCTAGACCGAAGGTCCCGATAAAAAATAGTTAATTTTCTTGTTTTAAGATTAAAGGCACGTTCATTCAACTTTCAACAAGATTGCATATCAAAATGGAGTATCGACCTTAGGAGGTGATACCCAAGTTTTGGAAACATGTTATTAAGTCGGTAGCAAGTTTGTGAGCTAATTGATTACAATCTCGATACGGAAAGAGAAAAACGAGACAGCAAAGATCTGCACCATATGGTATAATCTTTAATGAAAGTCTTGGTGGGAATTGAGCAAATTCACAATAATTCTTCAATCACTCTCAAGATGTAAAGCTTGTAAACCCAAACTTGAGCCATCAATAATCCTTCCATAATGGCAAGAGATTTCGTTTCTTCCCTATAATAGGAAGCAGCCTGAATTAATATTTCTAATTTTATGGTTTTAATATTTTACATTCATTATAATAGTTGGTTCTTTCTTGTAAGACCACAAGCATGCACATGCTTATCAAAAAAAAGCATTCACATGTAGGGGTGAGCAAAAAAAACTGAAAAACTGAATCGATCAAAAATCCGACAGTTTCAGTTTGGTTTCGGTTAACCATTTAAGAAAATCGGTGACTAACCGAACCAACCGATATATATACAGTAATATATATTTATTATAATATTATTGATGTCTCATTGTGACACTAGCAAGTACACATCGTTCAAGTAATAAAGTAGTGAATAAAGTATCGTTACCACGAGGATTTAGGAAACAATTACCAATACTAAATTGGGAACTTCTTATCTGATCAACAATAAATCAAAACTTTATTCAAAAGCTAAAAATCCTAAACTAAAATCTATCTAAATTATTGGCCCAATTGCCTTCAATTCAGGTTAGAAGAGTAAACAGTTAATATTAATCTCAGAATTYAGCAATCAATCAAATTGAATCATTCGAATAGATTGTGATTGAGCCTTGGTTTGGTATAACCCCAAGGTCATGAACAGCCTCTCTCAAGCGCATGTTCATCCTATGCATGAGTGACGGTTCTTCTATCTCTACCAAAAATCTAATCATTCATGCATACAATTCTTCAAATACATCTAACGCATCAATTCAATTCTGAATTGATCACCAACTGAATTGTGCAAGTTATCTCTAACCCTGCATGCAATTCAGTTCTTGAATAGTAAATCCGAATTCCTAGAGTCTTTCTCAAGCACTCTAAGAATTCCAAGCTTAGATCAATTCGTCCAATCTAAAAATTTGCAGATCTGAATTTTTTTCTCCCTCTTCCATTCTTTCTTGATGTAATTAAGTTTGTAAAATTTCAGATCAGCGATCAATTTCTTTTTGATTCATTTGAATGTGTGAATTGTTCTTGAAGTTTCTTGAATAGGGGTTAATTGTAGATCAATTCAGCCAATTAAATTTTCAAAACTCATATATGAAATTTCAGATCTGAGATTTCAAGATCTAAATTGCTTGAAAGAGAATTCAGATCTGCAAATTTTCAGATTGGCCGAATTGATCTAAGCTTGAAATTCTTAGAGTGCTTGAGAAAGACTCTAGAAATTTAGATATACTATTCAAGAACTGAATTGCATGCAAGGTTAGAGATAACTTGCACAATTTAGTTGGTGATCAATTCAGATTTGAATTGATGCCTTAGAAGTGTTTGAAGAAATGCATGCATGAATGATTAGATTCTTGCTAGAGATAGAAGAACCGTCACTCATGCATAGGATGAATATGCGCTTGAGAGAGGTTGTTCATGACCTTGGGGTTATACCAAACCAAGGCTCAATCACAATCTATTYGAATGATTCAATTTGATTGATTGCTAAATTCTGAGATTAATATTAACTGTTTACTCTTCTAACCTGAATTGAAGGCAATTGGGCCAATAATTTAGATAGATTTTAGTTTAGGATTTTTAGCTTTTGAATAAAGTTTTGATTTGTTGTTGATCAGATAAGAAGTGCCCAATTTAGTATAGGTAATTGTTTCCTAAATTCTCATGGGAACGATACTTTATTCACTACTTATTACTTGAACGACGTGCACTTGCTAGTGTCACAATGAGTCACACCAGAGAACTCCTAATGGGATTAGGAGGTTTCTTAATCACTAAGAAAGAAAGGGGAGAAACCCTAATTCGAATGACAAGAATTCGAACCTTAAGGAAATTCGCAGAGAATACTCTGCAATTAGAGATTGGATCTCAAATAAACCCTAGAGAGGTGAAAGCAGTTCACTACCTTCTTCTCTAGTCTTCTCCTCCAACAGTCGCCACCATCTACTACCAGTTCGATATCTCTGTGAGGGAAAAGATCAAGAAAGCTTCTTGATATCAGTCTTTGCTGAAAAGATTGATCGTGTGTAGTGCTCATTGCTTCCATCGAGTTCTTCATAAGGACCCGGTTCGTGGGATGAACACTACTGGTTCTGCTCCATCATCACTGTGTCATCTTCAGTGGGAGCGGTTCTTGGAAGTTTCTTTGGGCGTGAACACTGACATTGGGAGATACTATTTCTTCAGATCATGTATATCCTTTCCCTTCTCTTTTGGTTCAGATCTGGTTCGGTTTTGGTTCAAGTCAGATCCTTGAATACTGTATTCTAAATTTAGGGAATATGATTGTCAGTTGGAAGAAATGTAAGAAATTTTTTGAAATTCGCCCACCCATTTTGCACCCTTTTGGCGTCCATATGATGGATCTTACCATTCTTTCAGAACTACCACAAAATAGCAGACAAAACTCTTTTGTCCTCCGAAGGTAATTTGAGTATGTTCTTTACAGTAGTCCAATGCTTCTGTCCTAGGTTTGACTAGTATCTACTTACTACACTCACAGCCTGAGCAGTGTCTGGCCGACTGCACAATATGCCATTCATGATGCTCTCTACGACTAAGGCATAGGAAACTTCTTTCATGCCCTCAATCTCCTCAAGAGTCTTGGGAGACATACCCTTGGAGAGAGTGACTCCGTGTTTGAAAGAGACAAATCCCTTCTTGAAGTTCTCCATATTGTATCTTTTGACAATCTTATTAATGTAAGTAAACTGGGATAATCCTATTATCCTTTTCGATCTATCTCTATAGAGTCGAACTCCCAAGATGTAGGAGGCTTCTCCAAGATCTTTCATGGAGGATTATTGCGAAAGCCATACCTACACCATAGTTAACATTTCTACATCATTCCCAATGAGTAGAATATTGTCTACATACAGAATCAAGAACATAACATTATCTTCCATTGATTTCCTGTAAACACAGGGCTCATTCGGATTCTCCTCAAAGTGAAAACTGTTTGATGGTGGAGTCAAATTGGATGTTCCAACTTCTTGAAGCTTGCTTAAGTCCATAGATGGATCGATTAAGTTTACACCATGTGTTCCTGACCTCCATCAATGAAATCTTGCGGCTGCTGCATATAGATATCTTCAGTAAGATCTCTATTCAAGAACGCAGTTTTGACATCCATTTGCCAAATCTCATAGTCCTAGTGTGCTGCTACAGCTAGCAGGATCCATAAAGATTTAAGCATGGCCACCAGTGAAAAGGTTTCCTCATAATCGATTTCCTCTTTCTGAGTGTACCCTTTCGCTACAAGACGAGATTTGTAGGTCTCAACCTTTCCATCAGAGCCCTTTTTCGTCTTGTAGATCCATTTTCAACCAGTTGCTTTGACCCTAGGGGGGTCTACGAGAGTCCAGACCTTTTTGGTTTTCATTAAGTCCATCTCGGCTTTAATGGCATCTACCCACTTTAGGGAATCTATATCCAACAAAGCTTCCATATAAGTCCGGGGATCTTCCTCACTGATCGTGGCTTCCATCAAGTAACTTTCTTGATCATAGTCACAACGAATTAGAGGTCTAGAATACTGGGGTAGACCTTCTAAGTTAGGTGTTATCTGGAACGTGTGAGACATCTGCCATTAATCTTGAGCTCTCCTCATCAAGAACAATTTCCTGATGATGATTGTCTTGGATGTAATTGAAGGGAAGGGAGATCTATCATATGGATGGCCGAACCAGGCAGGGTGGCTGGGCAAAATTTCAAAAATTTTCTTTCTCCCTTCTAGGAATCATATTCCCAATTTTAGAAAAATTGCATTTTTCAAGGATCGTTCCTAAAGCAAACCGGATTAGATCTGGAACCAAAATAAAGGGAGGGCTATACCTGATACGGAATCCACAAACGTGTTCATGCCCAAAGAGGGTACCAAATCCTGCCTCTAATGAAGATGGCGTAGCTTGAGGTGAAGCAAGATCAGCAATGCAGTCCTTCAGCAAGAATTGCAATCCTTTGGCAAGGATCAAGCAAGGGAGATGAACACGAATTCAGATCTGATTTTTTTTTTTGCAAAAATCAGAATCAAGATCCAATCTTGAGCAGTCCAAGAATGGAGTTCGAACAAGGTATATGGCAGCAAGAGCAGAAGGAGGAGGAGA